TATATATATATACACTTAATGATTTCAATGTATTTGTTATGTAACTGAAAGAGGAAAGTGGTAGTGCATGCCTCTAATGCTATCTACTTGGTAGGCTAAAGCAGGAGGCTTGCAAGTTTAAAGGCATCCTGGGCAACTTAGTGAGAGCCTGTCTCAAAAAGTAGGGGTCTATAGCTCAGTGGTGGAGTGCCTATGTGGGCAATGAGGGAGTGATGTTCCCTTGTCTACTTTCTTTTCACATCTATCACCTTCTACTTCATTTTGATGTTCTGTCGTTAGGTTACTCAAGATTGTTATATCCTCATAAATTGACCCCTTCTTGAAATGTATTTTATTTAGTATTTTAAGGTTATTCAGATTTGCCTACGATTGTATGATGTCTTAGCCCATTTATATTACCATAAAAGAATATCAGAACATTTGTTTTCTCACAGTTCTGAAGGCTAAGAAATTCAACATAGAGCCACTGCCAGGTTTGGTTATCTAGTGAGGGCTGCTTTTTGCTTACAGGATAATGCCTTGACACTATATCCTCCAAAGAGAAGGAATAGTGACGTCACATGGTTTGAGGTATAGATGCGAGCAGACCACAGGGCATGAAGCCTCTTTTTTTTTTGTTATCAGGAATCAAACTCAGGACTCATGCTTGCCAGGCAGGTGCTGTGCCGCTGAGCTATATCATGAAGCCCCTTTTACAAGGTTTCCTATTTACTGAGGGAGGAGCCCTCATGATCTCCTCTGAAGACCCCATAATTTTTTGCTGTTGTTGTTGGAACCGGAGATTGAACTCAGGTCCTTGTGCTTGCCAAGGAAGCGCTTATTCTACTGAGCCAACTCCCCGTCCCAAGTCCCCATATTTTAATAGCATCAACTTTTTAAAAATAGTATTGGAAAAAAAAAAATAGTATTGGAGATTCAATCCAGAGCCTTCACACTGAGCTACACTCTTAGTCTTTATTCTCCAACCTCATCCCTGCCTTTTTTTGTTTTTTAAGACATAATCTCACTAAGTCACTAAATTACCCAGGCTAGATTTGAGCTTGTGCTCCTCTAACCCCACCCTCCAGCATGCTGGGATTACAAGTATGTGCCACCATGGCATCAGTAACACATGAATTTTAAGCACATTGAGGGCCTAGGGTGTGGCTCATTGGTTGAACATTGGCTTAGTATATGCAGTGAATTTGGTTCCCAGCACCACAAAGGAAAAGAAAATTAATTTAGGCTGACCATGGTGGTACATGTTTATTTTTATTTATTTATTTATTTATTTTTCATAATTTTATTGAGAAATAGCAATGAGACAGTTTCAAACCAAATTGGTAGGACAGTTTCAATAATTAACACATTGCATACATTCTTCCTAGTGGTTAATTGCTGTACAAGATGCAGACTTGATATCCTATTTACAAACACCATTAGAACAAATCCCTCTATTCATTAAGAGAATGTAACTATATATCTATCCTAATCACTTTGAATATACAGATACCAAATGGACATTCATCTGTATCCCCTTTTTTTGTTAAGTTCCATTATTTAAATATTATAGGTGTGTAAACTCAACAAAATATTCTAAAAGAGTCCAGAGGTCCATAATAGTATTGGGTCTTCTGCTTCACTGGCAATGTCAGAAATTGTTAACCTGAGTCCCCTACAGCTCAACATAACACCATGGCTTTACTTCTTATACTTCGTTTTTATACTTTTCTGCTGGATGGTTAAGACCAAGGTAAAGCAGGACCTATGCAACAAGAGTTGTAGCTTTTGGGTCTGATAAGGTCAGTGAAATCCCCTCAGGATTTATCCTGAGATCCTGTACCTCAGATTGTAGAACCTTTGTCAGTGTCAGCCATGTGGATGAGTCATGGCCATTGGTTGGCCAATGTGTTCTCTGTGAAAGCCTGAGAGAATGTTTTCTCTCCATGTGACTCTCCTTAGGCATACTCTACATCATTGATCACTTTCCTCTTTGGCACCATAATCTCCTTGATCAGAAAATTTGGGACACTATCGAGTTATATGACGTTACAGTACAAGTTCTCATATGTCCTGAGTCTTAAGTGACCTTGGAAGGCTAGGGTCAAAATGTTGGCTTTCCTTGCAGCCCTCCTTTTTCTCTATTTTTGGTCTGCAAACTTAGGTTGTTAACCCTCCAGAAGACAAGCTTATTGTTATTACCATACAACCTACACTGTTAAGCTTAACCTCACTGTCTGAATATCAAACATCTTAGGCATAACATGGAACAGGTATTTTTCATCAAGTATTGATATGTTGAACTTTAAGTCCCTATAGAATATGATGAAAAAACATTTAAAACTTAGAATATATTTTTAAAAATAGGCATAAAGATTATGTACTTCTTATGTTTACACATAAGTAGTGGTACATGTTTATTATCCTAGCATGCAAGAGGCTGAGACAGGAGGATCACCTCAAATTTGATGCCAGCTGCACCTGGTGGTGCATGCCTGTTATCAAAGCATGCAGGAGGCTGAGGCAAGAGCATCACTGCAAGTTCAAGGCCAGCCTAAACTAAATGTTGAGACCCTGTCTCAAAATGAACAAAGTTTGGGGCCAGGGAGATGGCTCAGTAGGATAAGCACTTGTCTGGTAAGTGCAAGGGCTTAAGTTCAATCCCTGGTTCTGCCAAAAAAAAAAAAAAAAAAAAAAAAGTTTGAAGCCAGACTTGCCTACATATTTCAAACCAAGTCTGAACTGTAGTGAGAGCCTATCTCAATTATGTGTTCAAAATAAGTGAACACATAAATAGTACCTTAAAAATGAAAAGATAAGCACAATGAAACCGTAACATATGATATGCCTGTTTTCTGCATATCTTACAAACAACATATGATTTGGCCTTAGTGTTTTCCTCCCATATGACACTGAACCCTATTTGGAGGTTTTTGTTGGTTTGTTTGTTTTGCGGAACAGGGGATTGAACTCAGGCCCTTGTGCTTGCCAGGCAAGTGCTTATTCCTCTGAGCTATCTTCCTGGCCCTCTATTTGGAGTTTTTAATGTAAAGATCCGTATAGCTGAGTTTTACTATACCATTATCTTGCTATTGTTTCCTCAATTATTTTTAAAATTCCTTTTTTTCTCTTGCATCTTTTGGATTGAGAAGTTTGTTACAATTCCATTTTTACTCTTATTATTCACTTATTAGAACTTTGTTTCTTTTTCTCTTCTTAGAAGTGTCTTGAGGGCTTGGAATTGGTAGACTAGGGACTAAATCAGGCCTGATGCCTGGTTTTGTAAATAAAATTTTATTGGAATATAGCCAATTGTAGAAGTACTTAGAATACACTTTAAAAATTTAGGCCATGATGGATGGTATATACCAGTAGTCCCTGTGCACAGGAGGCTAAGGCAGGAGGATTGCCTTAAGTTTGAGGCCAGCCTGGACTATATAGTGAGTTCAAGGCCAGCTTTAACTGCATTGTGACACCCTGTCTCTAAAAAAAAAATAAAAATTCAATAGCAGGTATTTCTATTTTGCATATTGATTCCCTAACAATATGAATCACAAAACAGGGAAATTAGTAGTCTTTCTGTATAGTTATAATGCCACAAGAAATAGTCAAAAACCGTCCCCAAACAAAACAAACAGAAATTGTCCCCAGTGTCTAGTCAACCTGGTTTCATCACAGTCCCCATCTGTTGCAGGGATCAGTATCATTCAAAGATGTTACTGTGGACTTTAGTCAGGAGGAATGGCAGCACCTAGATTCTGCTCAGAAGACCCTATACATGGATGTGATGTTGGAAAACTATTGCCACCTTATCTCTTTGGGTAAGGAAAACTCTGAAACTGTTCCTCTCAAAGTACTTGAAGTATGTTTAATCTTGGATTTCAAGGATAAAGGGGGGACCAGGAAGATAGCTCAGTGGAAAAAGTGCTTGGCTGAGAAGTGCAAAGTCCTGAGTTTGATCCCTGGTACTACCAAAAAAAAAAAAAAAAAAAGGATAAAGAATGATCAATAGCTTTTGGGTAGCAGAAACATGGTCATCTTCAGTTGCCTAGTGCAAGGTTCTAAGTTTATTGTAGCACAAATGAGAATCTTATTTTTAAAGTATTGAATATACATACACCTTACTCATTTTCTTTAAAGCTTTATTAGTACCTCATGATTACGTTAATCATAGGGAGTTAGTACGTGTATATAACATCTTAACTCCTTTTATTATCCCCTTTCCCTCCCACAATTCCTTATTTCTTACTCATCTTTCAAAGGTATGGAAGCCCACCAATTTAAATCTTCTTTTCCTTATCAGGGTATGACATGACCAAGCCTGATATGATCCTTAAGTTGGAGCAAGGAGAAGAGCCATGGACATCATTTGCAGATCATGCCTGCTTAAGTGAGTTTTTGACTTCTGGGCAGATGAAAACTGGTGGGAAGTAAATGTTACAGGAATCAGTGGTAGATAGTGCATTTGAAATGTTTTAGGAATATATATATATTGGGGGGGAATTTTTTTAAAAGGCCAGCAATTTGAGGTCTATGTAGGGATTATAGCAAGACTTCTTTCTTTAAAAAACAAATAGGGCAAGGAAGATAGCTTGGAGCTTAAGCACCTGCCTGGCAAACACAAGGTCCTGAGTTTGATCCCTGGTACCAAAAAAGTCACAAAAAAACAAATAACAGGGCCAAGGAGATAGCTCAGCAATGTAAGCACCTGCCTGGCAAGCGCAAGGACCCAGGTTCAATCCTGGCACCACATGCCATGTCAGCCCCAGTCCCAGGCACGCTGAACCAGCCACTGAGACCTGGCACAGTGGTGCATGCCTATAATCCCAGCATTGGGGAGGCTGAAAACAGGAGCATCACTATGAGTCTGAGTCATTCCATAGTTAGACCCTATACCAAATACATTTAAAATAAATAAATACATTTACTTA